TAATTAAATGTTTCTGGAATTTTCTTAGTTTTCCTATCCATCAAAAAAGGAAAGGCAGCCTGTGAGAATGAGACTTTGTCCACTCTCTTTGGTTAGGTCCACCACTGTAAAGGATTTCTGTGCAAGCAGCATATTTATAAAGTGTAGGTTACACTGTGAGAGACGAAGGAAGACAGGGAAGAGGAGACAGACAGTGAAAGGCACTTCTGAAAACCAGCGATGACTGAGGGTGACTGGAGCTCAAGCTCATCTGTAAACACAGGAATATGCCTGTGTTATTCCACCTTGAAGGTGAGCGAGCTGGGGTGTGCACACACTTCTTCCTGCCATCACCGATTGAGGGCTGTCCTAGGGGATGCTCATTCCATGCCTGTGGTCTGCCATGTGTGCAGGCAGAGCTGCCTTCTCCAGCCTCACAGACAGCACCAAGGTGAAATATGGCTGGTGGAAGTCAACAGAAGCACGGTGAAGGGGAAAGACAAAGGTTTTCAACAATGACTGCTAATATACCCAGAAAAAATATGTGGACCTTTTTCTTTCTTTCTTTTTTTTTTTTAACTGGTAAGGGGATTGCAACCCCCGACATGGTGTGGTCTGTACCACGCTCAGCCAGTGAGCGCACCGGCCATCCCTATATAGGATCCAAACCTGAGGCCTCGGTGCTCCCAGCACCATACTCTCCCGAGTGAGCCACGGGGCTGGCCCATGGACTTTTAATCTAGAGCTGCATCTCTCTGAAACTGTTTCCTGGCAGGCAGATTGCAAGCATGATTTTCTGAAATTCANAAAAAAATGCTCATAAAACCCCAGTTTATAGTGAAGCACGTGTTAGTTGTTGAATAAACAAATATTGATGGCTTTTAGTTGAAAATGAAATCTGGCATATTTATAGGGAAAAAAAACCTGGAAGAAATCTGTTATGTGGGAATCTTTAATGTATGATTTTTGCATGCTGAGAGCTCTTATTCTTTCTAAAATGTGGGCTCCATGGTGTATAGCTACTTGTTGGAGGCTCTTTAGATTTCCTGATTCAGAGGAAAAGAATTGTTGCTTACATTCAATCTAAGAGAGATTTGTAAAGGGTAATTAAATGTTTCTGGAATTTTCTTAGTTTTCCTATCCATCAAAAAAGGAAAGGCAGCCTCTGAGAATGAGACTTTGTACACTCTCTTTGGTTAGGTCCACCACTGTAAAGGATTTCTGTGCAAGCAGCATATTTATAAGGTGTAGGTTACCTTGTGAGAGACGAAGGAAGACAGGGAAGAGGAG